ATAATAATGGTTGGGCTATTGTTCGTTCGTATAAAATACCGCAAAAAATAAATTTCAAGTTAAATAAAGTGAATGCGAATAATATATTTTAAAGAATAAAAATTATTCGCTGAAAAAAATTTCTAAAATATTAAGAAGAAAGCATTGCGTTGTGTTTAATTATGTAAAATGTAATATGAATTTGATTCAAAGAAAATACTTAAATAAGAACAATAGAACGACATAAATATTATTAATTATAATATAAATAAAAAAACATTTATTACGTAAATAGAAGAACATTAACAACAGAAGACCACTAAAGCTAATAACAAACATATATAAATATTCGCATTATTCTCAACAGACTTGAAAATGAGTAAGAATGCTTTAAACAAAAAACAATTAAAAAACAGCATTAATATACATTCGAAGGAGTGATTGTTCAATCAAATCAAAGTGATTGTTCAATATTGTACATGCTGTAAAGGTGTAATTGAAGGTATATATGTGTTCAGTCTTTACAGAAGAACGCTGCATACTTATAGTTTTATGACTTAAAATATATATTTTCATTTCTGTTTGTTTTGCTATTATAATTTTTATAGCTACAAGCTACAATTTATCAATAAATAACTTCTCGTGGTGTTCGTAGTAGCACTATACACACAGGGAAAGTACAAATTATTTATCAAAAGATAAATTATCACGTAATACATATGTAATAACTAGGCGTGTACGTATTGGTTTATTTGACTCAGGACTCTTCAAACGAGTGATCCAACAAAGCGGAACACCATTATGCCAGTGGGCATTCCATTCACCCGATAAGGCATTTGAAAACGGTCGCAACCTTGCCAGCAGACTTGGTTACGAAGGATCAACCGCGGAAGGTATAGTGAATTTCCTTCGCGGTGTGGACGCAGAAGAGATGACCATGAAGACTTTCCTAGTGGACTTCGTAAATATAACACATTCTTCAATTTATCATAAATACTTATACATAGGGTGCCAAAATATGTTCGAATCAAGTGAAATGAGGTCATTTGAAGACACTTTTTCCTTTAAAAAAATATTCTCCGCAGCTCTGTTAACGAGTTATTAACGAAAATCATCACACAACTACTAAATTTACAAACTTTTATTTACTTTCTATTAACCGTTTACGCTCAAAGTTATTTTAATTCCGAAACCAACAAGATTATTCTGACCTACAGTATTTGTACCTTTAACCCTTGGCGGTCATATTAAGATTATACCGCAAAGGGTTAATAATTGTTTTCCTTTTGTGTACATAATATTGAATGAATTTGCTCGTGCAACATTTCCGCTCTGAACAATTTATTAAACATAGTCAAATTGAATGATATAAAAATTATGTTGAGAAATGATGTAGCGATTTGCAGTAGCACCTCAGAATCGCCATTCGAGTGTGCAAAGGGATAAGCTGTACTTACTATAAATATTTTCCAGGGTTTCTTGCCATTCCGGCCAACGGTAGAGAATGCTGACCTTGCGCCCGATGGCAGTTCATTCTTGACTCAGTGCCCCATACAGAAATATAAGTCTGGAAACTTCAGTAAAGTGCCTTTACTTTTGGGTCGCAATAAGGACGAGGCTCTCTTCTTCTTGGACTGTGAGTACGAAAACCGAGGTCACGGACTCACAACGACGACGATATATCCGTTCTGAATATTTTTCAACTGTATCGTTGCCTGAAATTAGTGTTAGGATACATTCACGTTGCTTTGTTATTAACAAAAATGTAGCAAAGAATTTACAAAAATCTATCATGCCGGTCAACATTACCGGCTTCACATATTACCAGTTTACGGAGTCTCCTTCCTAAGATATGATTGAATATATTTTTTTTAATTGTAGTATTACGTTCTAATAGAAATAACGAAAAGTTTAAACAACTTCGGTTTTGTAATTTTTATGAAGCAACACAGGTTAGTCGCTTTTAGTCCTCGGTAGTATTTAGCGATAAAAACGACGACCGGGTCCACTTTGACCCGCCATAAGCTTGTTCAAGCTGTATTACTGTCTGAGACGAGTATTAGACAGGATATATGTTTATTTATAAGTAACAGTAATATCAAAAGATGTTAATATAATCTTAAAAACTATATTGTTTGTATCATTGCGTAGATATGGTTGGAAGTGGAAACCATCAGGAAGCAATAGCGAATCTGGTACAGACTTCAATGGGTATCAGTGGAATCGTAGACGATATGTTGGGTGCCTTTACTGGAGTAGTGTTCAACATGCTCCCTGATCCTTTGATTCAGCTTGTTCTTAATATATTCACCAGCCTCATGTTCACGGCTCCCATCGATTTGACGCAGCAACTGATAGCAAAGTCGAACGAAAACAATCCTATTTATTATTACATGCTCTCTTACGAGTCACAATGGAACGTGCACAATTTGGTAGGCGACACGCTAAATGGTACGACCGCTTGCAAAATTATTGTTTGTTTACTTGGCACTGTTATATAATTATTACTTATAGGAAAATGTAAAATTTATTTGTTATACGTTAATACTTGCTTCACAATTGGTACAATTAGTACATTAATCATTTTTGTTGAACGTAACATTCACTATCGCAACTGCAAGAAACGATCGCGAGAATAGAAGTCCTACATTTCCCCTCCCTATTTTCGAAGGGAGGGGAAATGTAGGATGACAGAAGTGAATAAAATCGATAAGGAATAAATTTTCGTTTCTATCAAGACCGTTTCCCAACGACATGATTGATTTCAGGAACCTCTCACGTCGATGACATCGCATACTTGTTCAACATGCAAAAAATTAAGGCGCCGACAGACCCTAATCATCCCTTCAACGTGTTCCGGAAGAAGATGGTCACCTTATGGACAAACTTCGCTAAATACGGGTGAGCATATAAAAATCAAAATAGTGGAACACAATTCACTTTTAACCATACTTAACATACGATAATATCTGTGTTTAAAAATCGATTGAAAAAGGTACACACGCACTGATCGTCAAAGTTAAAAAGTTAAACAAATATTAAAACAAATGCTTGCTTGTTCCAGAAATAATGAAATTAAAATAAACCACTATGCATTTTGCATTATAACCGAAAAAAAAACTTTGAATTTCTCAGCTGAACAAAGATTTACCTTTAACATTGTCCTTTAATTGTGTTAGATCGAATGAAAAATTCGTTTCATTTCGTGTCACAAGTTCAAACAAATATTGTTTCTACTCCCTATTATTTATTAATCTGCCAACGAACTTGCCAATCGATCCAATATATTTATTTTCAAATTGATTGAAAAACGTCTATCTTCCAGAAATCCGACACCAAAGAATGAAAGCGACCCTGTCACGTTCGACGTGATTTGGGTGGACAGCACTGCAACCGGTGCACAGCTAGAAATCAACGAAGCTGCTTTCATGAGAAAACGCACAGCAAATACAATAACTCAATCATATGCAAACGGTCTTAGTAACAGGCTCCCCGAACTCACTGGGTGCAAGCCGATTCCGGATGCAGCATCCTCGAGCCTCTTCGACAAGCTCTTCTAATCAACATAACGTAACATATTCTTTGTATATTTAAATTATTGTTTGACATAGGAAGAATTATATAAATGTTTCAAGTAATAAGAATTGTTTATATTATGTAATAAATATTCATGGCAATGAAACCAATCTGAAGTATACATCGTTCATCCTGCACGTAAACTAATTTTCTCATCCATAGTTTTGTAAACATTAGAGAGGGATTTGTAGCCTTCGTTAACTATTATTTTCAAGCAGTATATGTTTAGAATAGGATCCGGCCTAACGCAAAGTAAATATTGTGCCGCTGTCCAATTTGTGACATAAAAACTATGCGATTTTCCGTTGACTTGAAAAAGAAGAATAGTTCTTTAGATAAATAAAGGGTCTTAAAGCGATGGTGAATGACCAAATGTTAACACTAAGCCTATCGTACTGGTCAAAATGTCCAAATGTTATTAAAATTATAAAGATCCTTCCATAGAAAATGACTGAATAAATTTTTGAATACAAGTATATATTATTTAGTAATCGGTAGATTTAATGTTAACTGCGGAAAGGAAATTGATTGAAGCAGTGCTGTTTCGATCAGATGTGCAGTAGACTGAGCCGAGTATTGTAATGGTCAGGCGACAGTAGATTGGGTCGAATTCTGTGAGAATCAGACAGAAGTAGATTGAATTGCGTAGTGCAATGCTCAAACAGTAGTAGATTAGATCAGATAAGTGCAATAGTCAGGCAGTAGTAGATTGGATTGTGTATTGTAATTATAAAATAGAAGTAAATTAGGTCGAGTACCGCAATAATCAAAAGGTAGTAGACTTAGTCAAGTACTGTAATGATCAAACCGAAGTAGATTGGGTCGGATGCCGTAATAGTCAGACATTAGTATATTGAATCAGCAGGCGAAGACAGTTTTTGAATGTAAAAATGGCCAAATTGTTAGCCAACTAATATATTGGATTGTCTTATAAGTCATACACCACCTGAATTCTTTAAATAATTTCTATGCAATTTAGTTGATAGTGATTTAAATTACGTGTAATCAAAAATCATTCGAAAGATCAAGAGAATATCAAAACTCCGTTTTCAACATTTTTGGGAAAATATAAAACAAATTGTAGGTTTCAATATTTATTGGCCCGTAACTCATTTTGCGGAAAAATTACAAAAATCCCTAAAGTGCGAACAAGTATCACACTGTTTCACTTTCTCGATTGATCAAACATAATGTTAAACAGTCAAAATTATAATTACGTAATATTAGATAGAGTACAGATTCAGTTTCCATGTAACATAAATCAGGAAGAGAAAGATTTAAACTGTTTTGAACCTTCAATACAAATGCTTCAGACTTTAGAACTTAAAATATTTGACAATTTTTTAAAAGCATCATTCTCACTATAAAGTTCTTTCAATGAAAAATACTTTTGTCATTGCACATAGAGTGATCACGACAAGAGTATTCCCATGTCATATAAAACGCTTTATTATATATTAGGGTGGTAAAAAAATTCTCTTCTTCTATCTCTATAAGTTCTTATTACATTCAGGACAACATGATCTTCCAGTGGGTTACAGAATAATGAAATCTTGTTTGTTGACGTGAACCATCAGTAGACCATCGCTTGATACTTACATCTAATAATGTAATTTACGGGCTAAACATTAAAACATTTTGGTAATACCACACAAACTGATACATCAGAAGTGATGTTATTCTTAATTTTGTAAAAATATTAAATACATGTAAAATATGTTACCGATAAAAACCGTTTTAATAAAATTGTACTGTTTGAGCACAATAACATTGACAACAGTAAATGTCATCCATTGTTATCCTGAATGCATTAGGAAAATTTTTGATCAATCAATTCATGCCGTATAATAATTAGAAAATGAAACATTATATTTACAAAAGTGAAATTACTTTCTATAATCATTTTTCTGTTTTAAAAACATAGAAAAGTTAAATGAATATGATAACGGATCAATCATTGAAATACATAACAATAAGAGACGTCTTTTATTGTTCAATTTGTTTCAAAGACTTGAATAGCAGATACAAGTGCAGAAAATAAAATAGTTTCTCACTTCATATCATATTGTAAGTCAAATATTTCATTTTAACATGTTCCCTATACGACGATTGTAGATTTCAATTTTGTTATTCAAAATTGTTTAAAATATGACAAACATCAACAAAACATAGTATTATATAGGTAAGAAATATTACCATTTCTATAGTAACTCATCTTTGCCGATTTATTAGTCTTGATCCTTTTGTAGTTATGGTCTATGTAATGCAGTGCCCAGAGGGCATAGCTTTTATCATGCTCCTTTCAAAATGACTGGAGCATAATGCTTGCATTTGGGCAGAAACAGCATGCTGTTGTCTGCCATCAGCCTCATAGCCGCCTCTCTTCCTCATGCCAACAAGAAGGAAGAAGAGGAANATTGTTATCCTGAATGCATTAGGAAAATTTTTGATCAATCAATTCTTTCCGTATAATAATTAGAAAATGAAACATTATATTTACAAAAGTGAAATTACTTTCTATAATCATTTTTCTGTTTTAAAAACATAGAAAAGTTAAATGAATATGATAACGGATCAATCATTGAAATACATAACAATAAGAGACGTCTTTTATTGTTCAATTTGTTTCAAAGACTTGAATAGCAGATACAAGTGCAGAAAATAAAATAGTTTCTCACTTCATATCATATTGTAAGTCAAATATTTCATTTTAACATGTTCCCTATACGACGATTGTAGATTTCAATTTTGTTATTCAAAATTGTTTAAAATATGACAAACATCAACAAAACATAGTATTATATAGGTAAGAAATATTACCATTTCTATAGTAACTCATCTTTGCCGATTTATTAGTCTTGATCCTTTTGTAGTTATGGTCTATGTAATGCAGTGCCCAGAGGGCATAGCTTTTATCATGCTCCTTTCAAAATGACTGGAGCATAATGCTTGCATTTGGGCAGAAACAGCATGCTGTTGTCTGCCATCAGCCTCATAGCCGCCTCTCTTCCTCATGCCAACAAGAAGGAAGAAGAGGAAAAAGATAGGTGGAAAAAGTTGATCTCTGGAAGACGCGCTACCTGCGTACATTAAACCCTCGCGTTCCATCTGGTCCAATAGGCAGACGAAGAATGTTACTTGGTAGGCCACTACCACTAGCAGTTATTGTCTTTGGTTGTATTCTATTTATTTCTTGTTCTAATTTCTCTTCTGGACTTTTTTCTTCGCCTAGAATTCTTTTTCTTGCTTCTGCATACTCTTGCTCCCTCTAAAAACATATTTTATTATATAGTATTTTCTTTCTGTGGCTCTTATGTTTACTATCTTTACCTGTTTCAAAGTTTTTATAGGATGTTTTGGTTTGTCTCCATTTACTAATGGACCATCTCCGCTACCTTGGGAATCTCTTGTTGGTCTTTTTAATATTTTTACTGTTGGTTTTGGTGGTACATACTGAGATCTCATACCATCTTCACCCAATATTATCATTCTTGTGTTTGTACTTTGATTGGTTTTAAAGCTAAAATATTGTAATTATAAAATCACAAAACTAGAATATACCACAACAGTAATAGCAAGTATAATGAATAAACTATTACACATCAAGGTTTATTTCAGTTATGCATTTGCAAAGTATTGAATTAAGCATTCTTTTTATATAGCTGTTCATAAATTGTAATTGTTAGCGTCTTAACTTCTATTGTAATATAAATTTGTTCAGTAATCAAAAGTTCTATAAAGTACCTTTCAATTATAAAGTTTTGAAATCAGTTTTCATTTTAAGAACTTTATGTGTACAATTTATTAAGATGTCATGAATCATACTCGTTTAGAAGTTTTACAAACCATTATAATGTCCACCTTCTTGAACCTACCTAGAAGATTCTATTTCTTCTAATGCTTCTACCGCATTTAACTGGAGGGCATCCAACTTTTTGTCGAGAGCCTGAAATCGATTCTAGTTCTAATATTGCATTATCTCGATTTAATTCTATACCATATTGCACATTTCCAATCGTAATTTTTCTTTCTTTCTTAAATTTATTTAATCTGAAGATTGTTCTTTTTTAAAACCATTATAGTATTACTTCCTAATAACGCAGTAGTTATAGTACTATTAATGCATATTTAAAAAGATTAAAATGACTATAATAAAAACTTTTGTAACAGAATCAAACAATCGCAATAATATTTTCAGTTAAAACATACAGTACAAATATTTAAAAATCAATTGTACTCTTTGGTTGCAATAGAAACGTAACCTTATGGAAAGCAATGTATTTTCTTATTACCACTACAACCAACAGCCACATGGATTGCTACCTATGTAATATAAGAATGCAAGAATGTACTTAGACATAAACATCTAAAAATTTAGAAATAATTGTAATAGAAATAATTCACTGTTATATGATCTTGTTCTTGTTCACTTCTTATATTACTTAATAAACTTAATGCCAACAAAAATGAGCACTTTACGAACATCCTCTCCCATACAGGTTAACAGAATTATTGGTCTACTAATTCAATTTGAAACAATGCTGTCTTCGTTATATAAAAAATAAAACTTACTCCAGATTCCTCAATTTCCTCCCAACTTTCAAGAACATCGTCCATGGTTGACATTTCGGGATTTCTGTATTAACTTCTACTTTTTAGGGACTGCAAGAAACTTACTAATACAGCCTTGACATAAACTACTAAGAACGTAAAAGACCAGCATATACATACACGAACAAATTGATTGTAGCAGAGCCGCACAAGCCTAGCGCTGCGAACGGACCATTGAATAGCACGACACAAGAAAAACTTCATATTTTAGGATTTGAGATACAAAGTTGGAAAGTGAGCATTCAAAAAGTTTGGATTTGATTGGTAATTAATTTTTTTGTCATTAGCTGAAGTGGTAATATCAACGGATAGTATCGTATAACATGTGGAATTTAAGAAAACAAGGAAACGGGCAAAATACTCCCTTTGCCTTGCTTGCCTCTGAGCCATTCATGGAGTCCATTGGAGTCGTTACACACAACTTTCTACCTTCGTACAGAACAGATGTTTTATACAGGGTATCCTAAATATGTTCTAAATTATAAGTATGTAATGTTGGGTCTTCAATTATTCAAGTGCATTCGACTATGATTCATGATTCGATCCAACGATTAATTGAATGGCTTGAATCTATATTCAGGAGAACCGCTCGCTTGAAGATTGATTGTAAATTGATCCAATCCAAGTCAAACAATCTAAAGTAAGACAGAGTGAAAATCGAACATTCGACAAATTGAAAATCTTAGGTGAATCACCCTTTCTATAGCTGACATAAATTTACAAAACGTACGTTTTAAATTTTCATTATACCTTTAGATGAATAATTTGTGAAAAACAGTGTTTACAATTTTCCTTACAATCTCTGCGAATTAAACAAATTTTTAAAAAACGATTATTCTACGTGCCATGCAGTAAGCGAATCCTCCTTTTTGAACAAACTCAAATTGTTTAGTGCATCTTTAATGAAGTTATTATATATTATAAGATACATATGTGTGAAATAGCTTTCGCTTAATTTATGGTAAAGTCAGTGGTTCAGTATAACCCATGGAATCAGGAAATGTATCAACCGCCATAAATATAAATAAATTTTTATGCTACAGTACAAACTTGTATACGCATGCGCACTTGCTAAACGGGGTCCTGAGGCTATATTCATGTTGAATCAACTTCCAGAGATTCATGTACAGCAATTGCAAATGAGTTCTCAAAAAGAACGAGTTTCAATTCTGTAAGAATCTTAGGAAGATTTTTACAGATGCACACACAATATACATTCTTTCGCCTTAGTAAAAGTACTCCGTGTTTAAGGTCCATATCCGAGATAAAAAAGGTTTAGAATTTTTAAATATATTGTTTTTAAAAAGTGAACCAAAGCTACACGATACCATTAACAGTATCCATAGTGAAAATATTTAATATTTGTAATAGTATGACAAAGTATTCTATTTCATAAAGTATAAATATGACAATGTATTAAGACAACTAAGTTTATTTAAAATATTTTTCTTGAAATGTAGTGACATAATGTTCATAACAACTCACTATGTACACAATGTATACATTTAGAGTTACTGA